TCTCCCAGAGAACGTAAGTTTACATATACATGGGTTAATTTTATCGTACCGTAATAGTAGTTCACTGTTAGCATACTAGAAAATAAATATCAAACCTCTAACCCCTCTATGAAAAGAAACATGCCTTAAAATTGTCATCGGTTGATACAACGATAAATAAATCTTAAGGCAGTATGTAGTACGAGCTAAAATACCCCATTGTAAACTATATATTACCAGAAGCTAGGATAATCAAACATACCCAGTTAGAGCCGAAGAAGAAGTAATGGAAACTGTCGATACAGCAATAAATGTAAATGGAATATTCCCAAAGAAGAACTCGCTACGTGCGAAGTCGCTAATTGAGAAATGATCTAGGAAGCGGTGGAAAAGAACTAATTAAAGAGGAAATGTAGGGACGATTGAACGTGAATAGCAAAAAGAAAGATCTTCACACTCGAAAAGGAGGTGATTTGAGAAGTATTGTTAAGATAGTTGTTTTATTTAAACATAGAACACACTTGTAAAGTAGAACACTTAAGTGTAGTGCGGCGTAAATATATTTCAATAAAGTGGTTTAAATACCTGCATAAAAGTTATCCAAAATGTTGCTCACGGCAACCAATTTCTATCCGCAATAGGGATCTTCATCAGGCCGATCAGGATGTCAAAACATTTTTATCTTCTTGCGAAGGTCGTCAAAAGGCGTAAAAAACATGCACAAACACAGTTACAAACACGAAACACGGACATTTAACATTAAAGACGCGGCCGAAATTATTGCGACGACTCATCCCCGGCGAAGGTATAGTCTAGCTAGACTCAACCACTATACCTTCTATATACCTATACCTTCGCCGGGGATGAGTCGTCGCAATAATTTCGGCCGCGTCTTTAATGTTAAATGTCCGTGTTTCGTGTTTGTGACTATGTGTGCATGTTTTTTACGCCTTTTGACGACCTTCGCAAGAAGATAAAAATGTCCACTGTTTCATGGTAATTGTAGACTATCAATATTGTCATACCACCTCGTTGTTTTCAAACATGTCTAACGGTTTGTAGATGGATATCTAACCAGTTGTTTGTCAACAGAAAACCGCAGCTTAAGTAACGGACACGTGAAGTTTCTTCGTAATTTTCCATTGTTTCCACCTTAACCATTCCACGAATATTTTCTCCATTCTGTTTTGATTGAAACAATCATCTTCTGAGTGTATAGTTTAGACTAAAATAAGTAGAACTCTTTAACATTATAAGGTATTTATATAAAATGTTGTTTCAGAGGATTAACCATGATTAACCATTGAAATACGATAAAAGACATAAAGGACATAACCTAAAACTATTAATTTAAGTAACAAAATAGTCCGGCGGCAATGGGCTAAGTATTCGTAGCTCATCTTTGCATTGCTTCTATTGATTCAATTGTTCTTTAACTCATGTGGTGGTTCTTTAACTCTTTTCAACGGGTGTTGAAAATTGTTGAAAATACAGTAAATCAATTTTGGCATTTGCAAGGCTAGTTTGCACCCTTGTCGTCATTTTGTGTTATTTTCCCACCACTGGTAAATACTCAGTGATCACGATAGACGGGCTGATTAGGACAGGGATGCAGAAGGCCGTGGGTTCACCAACTTCCGCCGGAACTGTGATAATACGCCGACACCAACTGACCTATTATGCAGTTGTACCGCTCGAAAAAGGCTTCCCATACGATGGTGAAAAAACCACTTACTCCGCAGTTAAGGAAAAGAACTTGGGATTTTCCCATAAATGTTGGCTATAAGAAATTTTATACTAGGGTGAATCAGACCACCCGTGCATCAAGGTCTGGTCCAACAAGCGTTAAAAAACGAGGATTCCTTATTGAAAATCCGCCATTTAAAATTGTGTTAGTGGGTCACAGTTTTTAAATGTGACTTTAGGCACTTTTCTTTCAATGTTAGGATATTGATAATTAAAAGTAGCCTACAAATATATGTCCAATAAATATTAAAAAAATTAAAAACACGTCGAAATCCATGACATTTTACAAATCTTAGAAGTAGGGCGTTTTTTGAAGGTGAAGGGATGCGATTATCGAAAAACTTCAATAAGTGTCTTGTAGAAAATCTAATTCCTGAACATGAAAATTCTTTCAAATCTTTGCTAGCTCTTACAGTTTTCGAGCTATATCCGTTAAAAAAACTGTTTTTTTTCAAATTAAAGGGGGATTTAAGGGATTTTTGCGGGGGGGGGGTTAAGATTTGAAAAGGTAACTTTTGGGGATTTTGTGGGTGGTTTGGGACCTAGACGGACCACTACCAAAAAAATTCAGTTCCCTAGCTATCCTAGAAGTGGGTAAACATTTGAATTCCTGATAAGTCAGTGAGTTACACTTTGAAGCGGCTGTATAGCCAGAAGTGAAGAGGTCTGATTCACCCTGTATAGCCAACCAACTACCGGTACTTGTAATACCATTTTCATTTTACACCGGTAAAAATGAATTATGTATGCAGTAAAATAGTGAAAATTTCACGCAAAACTTTGAGAATGGTTTTTATAGGAGATAAACAACACTTGTTTGGTAAACACAGCCTCGGAACCGAAATAGTCGATGATTTGGCAAGTGTGAGAATTGAGAATCTGTGGCCCACTTGGCTTGATTGTGAATTGTGATTACCCTTAACCTCCCATGTAATAATTAAAACAAGATTATATTGCAGCAAACCTTAAATTTACATTTGGTATATTGTTTGTTACTGATTTGTGGCAAATTTATATGTACAATACAACAAAAATCTCTAGCCGACATGAACGTCTTAATAGTATTCCAAGTCCAATTCAAAACCCACACTACTCTGTCATAGAGACTAACAAGTTAGGCCTAAGTAATTTAATCTAAAAGCTGAATACTGCAATACCGTACTTGAGGTTAGAATATTATGGTTCAGTTATAACGGGCAAAGACTAGTTTTTAGCCAATTTTCCTATAGGGAAGTAGTTATTACCATAGGTGGCACAACTTGGGCCCAGGGCCGATTTACTGTTTCATTTTGTTGTCTCCACAGGGCAAATTGGACGAAATAGTGTTTTTTGGCGAAATAGTGGGGAAGGACACAGCAGGGGTGCATTGAGAAATGAGAGGGATGATGATCACCCCGGAGTGTCACCAATCACAGGCACATTCATAGCCTTGGGGTCCAGACCCTTAGCTTCGGCAATGAAAGTGTTGGCTCGAACGATATTAGTGACTCCAAACAGCCTGTTAGGATCATATACTCCGGCTTTCTTAAGCACTTCGGCAGCAATAGGCACTGTGCTAAATGATTTGATATGATTCCAATGAGAGCCTTGGCTGCGACTTCTACAGCAGCCTGTACCAAATCATGCACAATAGAAAGCGAGAGATCATCTCGGGCCATGCCAGGTTTACGAGGTACACCAGCAGGGAATGTTGATCACCAGAGCTTCAGGGAATCCCTAACTTGGTCTGGGCCTACAAATCCTGTGACCTTGGACTTTGTCTCAATATGGCTGAGCTCAGCTATCCCTGGAGTGTGGACAATGTCATATAGAGACGGTTCAGTGACTAGAGGGGACTCCTTCAGAAGAAGTGACCGAGGTTGGCTGATACCTCTACTGGCTCCACACACCACAACCTTTTTAACAACGTGTACCGCCGCTACCACACCACGCCACATATAAGCTGTGTTTACAGCAGGCCAGTAGAGCAGGCAGGTTACTGTAGGCGAGAGTTAAGAAGTCCTCTGAGCCAGATTGATATGCAGCAATGTTTGTATGTTGCCGCGCAGTATTTGCAATGTGCTCTTTTGGTTTTAACGCAGTGGATGTGAGCCCTGACTGCCGCATGGAACATGAGTAACCCGCCTGGCACGCCTAGATGTCGAGTAGCAAGCGCCTGCATTTTTAGAATAGGCCAGGGCTAAGAGGACTTCTTAACTCTCGCCTACAGTACTTGCCTCCTAATGTACCTATTTCAAAAAGTTACCTGGAGAAGTAACCTGCACACCCACTAGCCTTGTGTTTAAACGCAGCTTTAACGCAACAATGATTGTAGGCCTATAGGGAACTTTACCACTGGCAAATACTAATTAAGACACCTGGTAATTTTTGCAGACTAAGCGAATTTCAATTCATTTTATTGGATTTTATCTAAAATATTTCCAATAGCCCTCAAAAAGTTTTAGGCTAGGTAGGGCCTAATTTACTACCGGTACCAATATAAAAAAAATTAAGTTAGATTTAACGTTTGCTGCTACGGGGAACGGAAAAAAGGTGTTTCTTTATAATATCTTAATAAAGGACGAAACAAATAGGTACATTTTCCCAAATGTTAAAGACAAACTATTAAATTTCCCTACAAGAAGTACGGTACAATACATGCACATCAAACCAAACGTAACAATGAAATAGACATCCCTTTCTGCAGACTCTCAAAAACAAAAAAATCATACCCGACCATGGCACTCAGGATCTACAATAGTCTACCCCAACACTGAAGAACCTGGAACCTCCTAAATTTAGCACTGCCCTGAAGACATGGCTAAAAGATAGGCCATATTATAGCCTGAAAGATTTTTTTGAAAGTGTGGGTGCATCACCGTTAAGTTATGACATAAAAGTTTTTATCTAAAGAGAAAAGTTTTTGTTTTTAGTAATAGGTATGTAAATAGTATTGACACAACCTATCCAGCATCGCTGGTCTTGGTGACAAAGTAGGTAATTAAGGTAATTAATTGGCCTTGGCCAAAGGAATGAAAATAAAATAACCATGCTACCTATGGTAACTTGCTTAATAAGATAGCTTCATTCATATAGGGAAATTTGATAAGCTAAAAGTGATAAGAATAAATATAATTATGACACTTATTCTCCCTATTAGAATTATGCATTTTAGGCATAAAAGGAACAGGCTTACGGAAGAAAACAGGGGAAACTGAAGTTTAAGTTATGAGGAGTGTTAGACTACAGTAAAGCTGGACTATGGGAGGGCTATTGTAGTAAAAAAATACACTTACTTTTGTTTTCGTCTGGAGGTTTTTTTGTGGTGTGAGCAGACAATGTTTTGAGGTTTCGCTTTAAAGTTGAAAGACGGCCGATTGTATCCCAACCACTGCTATCCTTTAACACTGTATTTTTTGTATGAACTTCTTTCTCACTGTGTTTAGGGTCACTAACTTTAACTTCTGAAGAACTCATAGTTTTGATGAATTTTTAATTCTATTCACTGTAAACTGGATATGAACATTCCTTATTTTGCGGAGTTGCCAAAACTATAATAAAAAATAACACTGTTAATGTAAACTGTGACTATCTTAACTTAAGTTACGCCTACTTGTAAGTTAACTTAGGCCTACTTACTGTTCGAGAATTACGAGAATTTTAACCATTGACTATTGGATGTACGGTACAGACTTTTAACTTAGTCAAAGGTTTTGTATTTTCAATTTTCAGGACTTTTTTATGAGAGTTGGTCAGAAACAATGGCACACTTTTTGTTTTAGCTTTAAGCTTCAAACTGTGTCTAAAAGTTTAAGTATTGGGTAGGCTAGAATAACTTACGCTAAGTTAAACTCTTTTTTATTTAATTAATTAATTAGTTTTGAGATTCATTTGTTTGTTTTTAACAGTTTTTATTTGTTTCATTAATGGTAGGCCCAGGCCTATCTAAAAGTTAAATGGAGTGCTCAAGTTCACCTTGATAGAAAAGTGCTCAAAAGTGCCAATGAAAATGTTGTTTAGAGAACAAAAAAATCCCTTAGGTTTGATTTCACGCCTAGCAAATAATACTTAGAGAAATTAGTTTCAGCCCCATTAAATAAAACTAAATTTAGAGAATAGGCTACAACTAAATCATTCCATTACTCCAGGTAAGTTAACTAAAAAGTTGTAGTTGCTTATAATGAATAAGCATCAGAGTAATTATTTAATCACTTCGGTGAAAAATAACTAACCAAAATGTAAAAAACACCACAAAACCACTGAATGAGTTCACCAATCACCGTATCACCATAACATCAACCCATCCCAACCAACAGACAACACAACACACCAGTAAACAACAACACAAAGTGTAAACTAACTAGTAACTAACCTAAAACCAGTGTTTCCATCCGCAAGAAAAAAATATCCCTGGGCCAACGTCAAAAAATCCCTAGTTATCCCTAGTCCGTGTTCTAATAATCCCTCCAATTATCCCTCTTCATCAAATCTAGATAACTTTATTATTTTTGCAGCAATACCTATGGATATCATGTATAGCCACCTAAAATATGGTAACTGGTGATAGTATTCTTCAATATCCCAATTATTTATAAAGTAATACTATATAAAAAACATTTTTGTACCATTAAAACCACAGCCATCTTTAACTCCAGGCAGGCCGCGGCCTAGTAGAATTGGCAACGCTGCAAGTGCCCTAGACTTCTCATCCCATTGTAAATTTTGAAGCACGTTTTTCGTGTCTAGTTCATGTACGTGACACAAAGGCGCTAGTGTCGATGAAACTTAGTTTCCATTATTTTAGGGTTAATTTCTTGATTTGTGCTTTACTGTTTGGTTATATAACTAGGGGACAAGTTATTGTTTATGATTAGATCGTATTATTTGGTTAAACGAGGTTTTAAATGGCTGTAATAACGGGAAACAAATTGTAAACAAAACACGACCTCTACATAAACCGTACATGAACTAACAATAAAATTGTCTTCAGCTGTTCCATAAGGATGAGAAATCTACTAAGGGAGTATGTTTTATCCTTAACGTTGTTGAAATACAGCCATAATGTATTATTTTATCAATATTTCAATTTTATAATGTCAAAGGCCTGAAATCCCTAGAAAATCTAAAAAATCCTTCAATTTCGCTGATTATCCCTAGTTATCCCTCAATCCCTTTTCAATCCCTCGAAGGCCCTAAATATCCCTAGAAAGGGATTTTTATCCCTCAAATGGAAACACTGCCTAAAACAACGACAATAATTCTTAAATTTTATTATAGATTTAGATTAAGATGGCTGAGGCTGACAGACGCATATCTTACTTTTGGTCTTTGGAAAATATTACAACTAGTGTAACTGTTACTATATGCAATTACAATGTATTAAAGACGATATTAAAAATCATGAGATTTCCAAAGTTTTGAGCTGGAGTATTGAATTTTAACGGTCCTCTTCCTCTTTATCACAGTTGTAGAAAATCGTAATATTTCCCAGCTGTACAATATAATCACTATAATCAGTGGTTGAGAATATATTCAATGCTTGTATCCAGCGGTTAGAGTTCACTTACTCTACGAATCATTGACACAATGAGCCTCCAAATATGTAATTCTTAAAACACATGGCTCACTTACTCTACAAATCATAGTCTATACGAGCTTCGTAAATAATATTGAAGGTTCACTTGCACTACAGGCTCGTATACTATACGAGCCGATCAAAAATATCAAATAAATTAAGAGGGTTCACTTACTCTACAGATCATTGTGCCTACGAGCCAAGCGTATGAATTCTTGAATAATTCAGGAATAAGCTCGTATAGTATACGAGCCAAAATACTGAATTTAAATAAATTACAGGAGTAGGCTCGTATACTATACGAGCCTATTTCATGATAACTATTACACAAATAGAAGACGGCTCACTTACTCTACAGTTCATTGGCACAATGATCTGTAGAGTAAGTGAACCCTCTACAAATATTAGAAGGCTCACTTACTCTACGGTTCATTTAGCTACTCGTCGCGCGGTTTGCAGCGCATCGTTGCAGGCGTGTATGGTAAACCAATACCGCAGTTCTGCCGTTCTGCCTTACTTCTGCCGTTTACTAGTCTTGCAGCTTGAAAGAGAGCTTGTTATGTTAATGCATTGTTGAATTTTTAACTTGTGTACTCGTTGCTAGAAATCAAGCAATTATCAAGTACCGGTACAGGAGCTATTTTAAGAGTTATTACAGACTTAATTTTCAATTAATTAAAAAGACTCACGTAAAAGCTTATGCAACTAATGGAATTACTTACTGTGTTATGAACATTTCTATATAATTAAAGTTGTAAATATTTTAAAATTGTTTAGAAGATTGCCTTTTTAGTGTTTTCTACAAACGTGTCTCAACTTATACACATAGACTGGTGGAGTGGTAATTTATATTTCTAATCATTTAACTTTAAATTATGAACGCTTTCAGTCACGTGAAGTTGAATTAATTAAACTGACATTAGTTTTTACCATAAATGATAAACCTTTTGAAATTGACTTAGGCCTAATAGCTTTGTATAGAAACTATAAATATGATTTTTATTTTTTCCGCAATGATTTGCAACGTATTTTGAGTAATTGTAAAAACACAGCTATTATGTTAGGAGATATAAATTTATGCATTTTAGAACAAAATAACAGTGTCATTGATTATTTAAGTATAATGAACTCATTTGGTTTTGAGTCGTTTATAAATGAGCCAACTTGGGGGAGAGAAAATTGGGTAAAGTGTTTAGACCATGTATTCATCAGAAGTAAGACTAATTTAATTTTTCATAGTAATTTAGAAAACTATGACTTTACTGATCATGCTGGAGTTAATGTAAATTGCGTAACAAGTTGTGATAGTGCTTTGAAAGAGGAGTTTGTCAAGGCTGTAGATCATTCAATTTTAAAAAGAAGGTTGGCTGAAGTGAGCTGGATGCCAGTGTTTGATTGTGAGGATGTTGATAAATCTCTAACAGTTTTTTACGATATTTATAATAAATGTATTGAGCAATCAAGTTTTTTAAGGCCTATTAACAGTAAAAATAGGCATCGAACTCCATGGATATCGGACACACTAATTAAAAAGATAAATGAAAAAAACAGACTTCACTCTCGATTGAAAAAGCACTATGACATACATTTGTTTAATAGATATAAAGAACTCTCTAGAGAATGTTCTAATTTGAAAAGACGGGAAAAAATTAATTATTACTCATCTAAAATTGAAGCAGTAAAGGGCTGCATCAAAGTCTTATTGGAATATATGCAAATCTATTATGAGAAAGTCAAAAAATGAACTAACATCGATTAATATAGATGATGAAATTGTACAGGTTGAGGGTAATGAAAAAATAGTTGCTGACTCATTCAATAACAATTTTACTGGTATGCCGGATAAGCTGATTAGAGAATTGTATGGGCCGGGATTCCCCGCCATGCCGGATATCGGTCTAGCGTGCAGCTCAAGGTTACGTTTATCTGAAATTACTGAGGTAGAATTAGAAAGTTTAATCTTAAGCAAACCAAATAAACAGTCTGTTGGCTTTGATGGTATTTCCATAAATACTATAAAAGAAAATGTTAAGATTTTTGTCCCAATATTACGTCACATTTTTAATTTATGTATAAAGCTAGGTTACTTTCCTTCTAGTCTAAAAACAGCACTCATTGTTCCAGTATATAAGGCAGCTGATCCATTGCAAATGAATAATTACCGACCGATCACTTTTAAATACCTTTGCTAAGCTGTTAGAAACTTGTGTGAAAAGCCAATTAGTTAAATATTTTTCAGATAACAATTTATTTTCAAATAATCAATTTGGGTTCATGAAAGGTAAAAATACTGACCTAGCAGTTGAAAGACATATAAGCGAGATAGTTAATCATGTTGATGAGCGTAAACCAACAATAGGAGTTTATCTTGACTTTACTAAGGCATTTCACTTAGTTAATCAAGACATATTATTACATAAACTAAAGTTATATGGAATTCAGGGAAATAGTTTTAAGTGGTTTGAGACTTTTTTAAATGAAAGAAAACGGATGGTTAAGATAAAAAACGTTTACTCAGATGTATGTTCTCAAAGGCTTGGCGTCCCTTAAGGGGGAGTGCTTGGACCAATTTTATTCACAATTTATATTAATGACATGTTATCAATGGATTTAAAATCGAAGATATATGCTTTTGCTGATGATACATCTTTAGTATGCAGTGCTAACAATTATGATTTACTGAGGATGAAAATTAATAATGATTTGGACGTAATATCAAATTGGGTGATAAGAAACAAATTAATCGTCAATACTTCTAAATCTAATGCAATGATATTTACTTACAAACCTCATTTGACAGAGTCGTTGAAAGAAGAGATCGATCTACGTTGTCATTTAGTTACTTGTTTTCGTGATTGTTGCTGTTCAAAAATAAATTTTGTTGATTCGGTCAAGTATCTTGGCCTTCATATAGATTCAGATTTAAAATGGCATACACATGTTAATCAACTATGTAAAAAACGTAGAAAAATTAACTATAATTTCTTTCATTTGAGACAGTTTATTACTCCTAAACTTCTTAGAACGCTATTTATCCTGGTTTGAATCTACTCTTAAGTATGGTTTAATTCATTGGGGAGGGACGTTTTCAACAATACTTAAACCAATTGTAATAATGCAAAAGCTTACATTAAAAACTATTTGTGGTGTAAAGAAATTTGACTCAGCTGCACCACTGTTTCAGTACTTGGACGTAATGCAGCTAGAGAAGATATATTTATATTCAAATAGCTGTAACCCGCGGGCTCTGTCCCGTTTAACTTCTTAATTTTCAAGATTATCTCGTTCGCATGGCTCAATCACGTCCTGGTTGAAGTTTGTTCGCTACGCTCACTCACCTTTAGGTTGGAGCTCGTTCGCTGCACTCGCTTGCCTTCAGGTTAGCTCGTTCGCTACGCTAACTCGCCTCCAGGTTGAAGTTCGTTCGCTACTCTCACTCACCTTTTGGTTGCAAATTAGCTGTTGTCATAAATGTAAAAGAAATAATAGTGCTGCACCCTGTTGGTAATCCTTGTAACTTTAATGCCATTGAACATCATAGAACAGAACCAACTTGTTTAATTGAAACAGCTGTTAAGATTCAATAATTCCATTTCTCATAAGGTTAACATGGGAAACTCTAGAGCCACTGGGGCGGAGCCCGAAAGGATTTTTGAACTAAGAATATGCCTATATGTTAATCGGGAATGTGAGCTATCATCATGCCAAATTTCAGCCCAATCCGACCAGTATTTTTCGCGTTCACTTGTCACAAACATACATCCAT